AATGCATAGCAGAGAAACATAAATTTTAAAAAAAATTCAACTCCACGCAGAATCATAATGCCTACCCACCAACAAATTCAACTAGAAAATTATAACAAAAAAGAAACTTGAAAACACAAGACACAAAGCAACCGACGCCAATTTATATTTTAGCAAACAAAACTAGAACCGAGAAAGCCAACATATTGAATAGATGTCAAATAATCAGAATTACCATACCATTGACCTAAAGATCTGCATATTATGGCCATTGCATCCTAAATATAACTTTGTCATTTAGAAGCAAACACCAAGCCTGCAAAGTAATGTCAAAATGCACAAATCAAGCAACAAAGGAGAAAAAAAACTGGAATTTTTTTTAACATAATACAAAGTGATTAAAGTAGAAAAGACTATTTCCACTTCCCTGTATAGATCTGGACGCTTAGAGCCCCAAATTAACCCAAATCCACCATGAACACCATTGATTTGTAAGGATCCCATAAAAAGTCCCAAAAATGGATTAATAAATAAATTTCAACAGATCTGTACCTTAAACTATAAACCCATCATCCACCCGTTTCAGACCTAGAAATTTGTTGGGTAGAGAGAGAAGAAGAAAGGGAAGTAAGAGAGAAATGAGGTTTTATTTGTATAAGGACTGTATAAAAATGAAAGAGATACCAAGACAGAGATGGAGTTGGAGAGGAGGGAAACAGATAGGGCATAATAGAGAGTTCGAGAGTTCAAGAGAAAGATATCGATTCTAACTAAAGAAAATATGGGATGGTATTAAGAGGAGAATCTGTTTGGGAGTAAAAAGAGAGAGTCTGAAAAAAATGAATTAAGAAGAAGAAAGGCGCGATTGGAATGAAGAAAGGCGGGATTGGAAAAGGCGCGCCAAGACACGTGGACAAAAGGGGAAGTGTAGCGTACCCGTTTCTATTGTAAGCTTGTTTCTTTGTCTCTGGCCGTTCAGATCAACTTGGTGGCTGAGATTAATTCCTCATATAAGGTTCTCACTTAGTGGCGTCAATAGAGCCCAGCGCGGTAAATGTTAGTGGCCAAGTTAACCAAGCAAAACTCTGTTGTTGCACCTGCAGACCATAAATAATAAGCCCATCTACAAATATTTACATATATAATATATGTTCTTATGCAGTATTTGAATTTTTTTTGTTTTTAACTTGAATTTGCGGAATCATATTTCATGATTTTTGGGCCCTTATCATAGATTTCGAACAAGGAAAGAATTCGATTTTCACTACTCTTGTGAGGAAAAATTTGACCGTATATGTTTGGGCCTGATTTCTGCCCAATCTCTATTGGGCCAAATTATGGAATGGGCTTCAATAACAACAAAATATCCAGACCAAACTATTGCGTTGTGTTCTACTCGATTGTAATCTGAAATGCTATTGGGGTTTGTAGATTTTCTACTTGGTCCCCATAATCTCGTACGAATATGATAAACTAACAAACTGAGATCCGAAAGCTATATATAGGCTTGAAGATTTTAAATGCATACCAAGTCCATTAGCCTCAGAGGTCCTCATGATACGAAGCCCTTTCACTGAGCTCATGAAACATCCTATATACCATAGAAATAGTAAACATACTGTCAGCATTATTTACTAGAAAGTAACAGAAAAAGGAAACTCTGGGATTGTCAAATTAGATGTTACTAAGCACATTGCTCTCTTTATTTTTTAGGTTCACCATCCCTTTTTCTTTTAAACAAAACTCATTATTAGAGGTAGAAGCATACCCCCAAGGAACATCTCCTCAAGCATCCAATCTCCTTCTTTATCTTCATAAGTGAGTACAAACTCAGAGGATCCATCCAGAAGCTTAGAGGGTTTTGTTGTTTGTTCCTTGTCTCCACCTGACATGAGCACAAAACTGTTGTCATACAATAGTAGTAACATCACATACACAGTGCATCAAAACTGACCAATTGATGATCATAACATGAACCAAAACAAAGAGCCTCCATTCTTTTGAGTTAAAGTCCTCATTTCGATTGTGCCAAAGGTACCAAAGGCAAAGAAAGAGAACTAACCAATAGCTGTAGTGGGGCTGAAAAACATGTCCTCCGTGTTTGAGCTAAAGTCTCATAGCAAGAGTGAGCATTCATATGCACTTTCCTCCCTATAGGAATTCCATCCATGTTCACCTTCACAAATCCGTGACACCCTTTCTCTTTAGCAGTTGTCTTATTACCCATGTTAATTTTCTTCTTAGAAGTGTCGTTAGATTTTTTCCCATCTTCCTTGTCATCTTCAACCCTTGCAGTCTTTGCTTGGTTAACCAAGCTATTCAACCTTGCAGCACTAATGGGTGCCCATCCCACAACTGGACTGTTTTCATAACACAAAATACAACAATCAATGATCCAAAATACAAAACTAGAGATACAGAGCATTCAAAACACGCTCTGTTTCAATACCCAAGCTATTCCTATTGCATTGTGTTCTACTTGATTGTAATATGAAATGCTATTGGGGACTCTATTAGTGGTTACTGATTAGTATTGACAGATTAACAACCATTTCAAACTTAATTAGTTCGCTTCTTGGGGCAGGCTCTAACATTGTTCTTAGTTATTAGCCTTTGGTTTGCCCTGGTGTGGAAACTTGGAAACCATGACCTGTATTGTTTTTAAAAAAAGGGATAATGCACATTATTGTCTTACCAATTTTGTTTGCTTTAGGCTAGTTTCATACATCTACATGTAAGACCATGAAACCCAAATTTAGACTAATCACCACTACTTTCTTTTTTTCTTTCTATTTTGGGTTTGATTAGAGATGGATAAGAGTTGGATTCATATGCACACTAGGGGAAAAACATAGTATAATCATGGGGTGAAAGAGTTCATTAATTTCGCAATTGAGCACATGAAACCAGGAATCACTGAAATGTTATGTCCATGTAATAGATGCAACAACCTCTACTTTATAGATCTCCACATCAAGTTGAGGACCATTTATATGCAAATGGAATGGTTATACTCATGGATGTGGAATCAGTTAGCTATAAAGTTTTATTAAGATATTTTGATGAAAACATATATTACTTTTCTAGCAGTGTTACTTTTCTGGAACTTTTCCAGTAGTCTATATTGCTCCTCATTACTTTTCTAGCAGTCTATTTGTAACATAAAAGGAAACAGCTGTGGATGTGTCCAAGCTTATCTGCTGGCCGCCTACTGATTTTTTTCTAGAAGGCAGGAGATACATGATGCAGCAGTGAGCACATTACTTGGGTCTTAATCAAATTAGCTTCTTTCCAAATAAATATTTTATGTATTTATTTTAGGTATCGTGTGTTTGCTCGCATTGAATGATTGTGTGTTGTAAGAATGTGTCTTTTCCTTCTGTTTTTACATGTGCTGGGACTGTCAAGTTTTGAAATGTGCGAAAGGGTTACGCGTGATGCTAGCATATTCGTATTTCATGTTTATATTGGTGTTGACTGATATTGAAAAGAGTTAATGCTAGAGGGGGAGCAGATTTCAACATCGTTTTTTTTGTTTTTTGGGTCAGAAAGTAGGATTTCATCAACATCGTTCATCCCAAATGTGCTGTATTTGTATGTATCTGGCAAAATTTGTACCATCACTTGCCTTCATTCATTTAGTGATTCCATTTTGAGAAAAGTTTTGGTCACTGATATTTTTCTGTCTCAGTGCTCTCTTCCCTGGTTAGACAGTTTCGTCCGAGGCATTATATATGTCAGAATCAAGGTCTAAAATATCAGTGATATCGGAAATATCGGTAGGACAAAAACACGGAAATTTCGATGGAAATATCGGGATATTATCGATATCGATAAAAATTGAATAAAAACCACAGAAATTATAAGAAAAACTTGGAAATTTTTATTGAAACTTTGCAAGATGTTTATTTAGTCAATTATCTATTAGTTTATCATAAAAAATTGGAAGGAAATGCATTGCATGATGGATTTAACTGATTTAAGTTGATGATACAGCAAGCTGGCAAACACTGTGAGTGTAGAAAATATGTAGTCATTAATGAAAAAAGATTAAGAGAATTCTTGAAATTGATGGAGATTATCTAATAATGTTAGAAATTAGGGTCGTACTATACAATATATATATAATTCCATGTGTTAATATATTAATTTAGGGAAGAAAAAAAAAAGGGTAAGTAGAAAAGCTACAGTCGGCTGGAGATAGAATAGGCAAGAAGATATTAATTATTGCCTTAGGTTTATTACAATAAAGAGAAGGAAAAAAAAAAAAAGGGAACAGAGCGTGTTTTCATTTTTTCAACGCCTTGCAACGCCTCCTCACGCCTTCCCCGTGCTAAACGTGCCACTCGCGAAAACACTGATATTATCAATAATTTCGATAATATCACAATATTTTGACCATTTCAGGTTGAATTTGCACGAAAATATCGAACTCGAAATTTCGGCGATATTATCAACGATAATTTCGATACTCTGATGAAATATAACTGGGATGTTAAGAAAATATCGGCAGCCAAAAATAACGATATTATCGCCGAAATATCGGCGATAATATCGACATTTCATTCCTTGGTCAGAATTCATAGTTTCAGTAATTAGTTTTGAATATTTTGGATATTAGGGAGGAAGGAAGAAATCACAGCAAACAAATGTAGAAGAGAACGTTGCTCTGAAAAGAAAGCTAGAGATAACTATTCATTGTATTTCACTATTCATCTATATTCGTATGAGAAGAGAGAAGTAAGAAGCTTCTCTAATCTGCTTTACAAGGATTAAATCCTAGCCTTTGATCCTATCACCCTATGAGATGATTACACTTGTCTTAATCTGACAATTATATCCTAGGCCACTTGGACTATGATCCAACGGCTCTCATTACAACCAGAAATTAGAACATATAAAATAAAATTCAAAACTCTGACTTTTAGCTCCAACGGCTAATCTCAGCTCAGCTTAGTTATACACTCCTAATGGTATTCATTACTTTTAATACTTCAGTTTAGTTATACATCTAATGCTCCTCATTACTTTTAATACTTAGTTTTACAAAAAAGTAGTGCACAAAATAAGGAAAATAGAAAGAAATTGAAGATCACACATTGTGCTGGGACAAAGGCCTTTAGTCGTATTAGATATGAAAATGTAAGCTTCATTTGACCCTTACAATCTTCTTACATTCAAATTTTTTGAAGTTATAATTTATGAAATGTGTAAATAACATGATGGTGGTCTATGCTATGACTACATGAAATAGAGAAATTCTGAAAGGGTAGTTTCTGTGACCAAGTGGGTGGCCACTAATACCTGTTTTTCTTGTAGTGAAGCCTATCTACAAATATTTACATATATAATATATGCTTTTATGCAGTACTTGAAATTTTTATTGTTTTTAACTTGAAGTTGCAGAATCATATTTCATGATTTTTCGGCCCTTATCATAGATTTCAAACAAAGAAAGAATTCGATTTTCACAACTCTCTCGTGAGGAAAAATTTGACCATATATGTTTGAGACTAATTTCTGCACAATCTGTAGTGGGCAAATTATGGCATGGGCTTTAAGAAAAACAAAATATCCAGACCAATTAAATGGTTAAATAAAGAAATTATTATTTAATTGATAATTACCTATTCTAATTGGATATTCTCAGCAATTACTTGGCGTTAAAGTCAATTAATTACATAATTGATTCTAAGTGATTGTAATACAATTCTTACTGTGACCTAATAGGAAATTACTTCTATTAGTGCTAGGGTTCCATGCATATAAAAGGAGAGGAAGGCTTTATGGCAAAAGACACAACTTTTCAACAACAAACTCCACACAAAAACCTTAGCTCTTTCATTCAAAGACTTGCTTTGTGTATGCAAATTTCATCTCGGATAGATTCAGAGAAGATCTTCACACCTCTTTAATTCACTCTTCCAAGATTCCCTGCAAAACAAATACTGTCAATCGAAGAACACTGGTGTGATGTTGGCCAAGGGCCCTCGATGCCTAAGTCAGAATATGGTCTCAAGGAGAT